AAAATGAAAAAAAAAAAAATTAATAATAAACAAATAAAACAAAGACACTTGAATCTGAGCTGAAAACATTTTATAAGCCCATCAGCCCAATACAGACTATATTTAATGGACTTATGAACAGAAAGGCCCAACACAAATTTAAATCCGAAACCCAATACCAACAAAGATTTTCTCATCAGTACTCATCTTTGCGACGCAAAACCATCAACACAAATCTATTGACATGCCTGTTATAACACATTCTCCATCTCTCACAAAACACAAGTGGCCAAAACACAAATCCTAAACCCACAAAAAATCCCAACAAAACACTTACATAAACCCCAATGTCCAAACTCATCTCCTCTTCATCAACTTCGTCTTCTCTAATAACATCATCACTGCAAGTTTTGTTCAAAGGAAACCCGCAAAGCCCTTCATTTCCGATAAACGAGCTCTCGGTAAACGTGTCCATCTGGCGACCTCTCGGTATCCTCCCGACAAGATGGTTATAAGACAAATTCAAGAACGAAAGGAAATTAAGGCTCGCTAGCTCGATCGGGATTTCCCCCATCAGCTCGTTGAACGAGAAATCCAAAGATTCGAGCTTTTGAATATTTCCTATCGATTTTGGGATTTGACCCGACAAGGCATTTCGCGAGAAGTTCAGGACATAAAGAGAACCGAGTCGCCCGATTGATTCTGGTATTGCACCTTGAAAATGGTTGTTCGAGAAGTCGATCGAGGTGAAGACTGTTAGGATTTTCTCCATTTCGAGTTCTTGTCCTTTGAAGGTCACCATTATTGAATCTTGATAGTAAATCCCACTTGCTGTAAGAAAAACAAAATGCAGGTGATCGAGTTGCTGAGTGGGGCCTTCTTCCTTGTTTCTTGGGTAGAAATTTGCAGGCAAGTTGCCGTTAAATTCGTTAGAAGCAATGTCGATGATTTGGAGATTATGCCATGTAATGTTTTCCCCCAAACAGCTAATATTGCCATGCAGATTATTAAAACGTAAAACGATTACGCGTAGTTTGGACATGTTCTTTAGCCAGCAAGGAAAAGTATCATTCAAGACATTATTTCCGAGGTTTAAGACCTCAATATTCGAGCATCTATTCAGAGTTCGAGGAATTTTTCCTTGCAGAACATTAAAACCGAGATCGAGAGTCTCTAATACACAACCAACTGGAAAGTCATCGGGTATCTCTCCACCAAGATTGTTTCTTCCCAAATTCAACACATTAATTTCAGCAATTCGCAACAAACAAGAAGGAATTTGGCCGTGCAGTCTATTATTTGACATGTCGAGAATGTGTAGACGGCTTGCATTGCAGAGTGACAGTGGAATTTCGCCGCCAATTTTATTATTTGCTACAGAGAAGAAAAGCGAGGGCATGAGGAAATTACCAATGTCGGTAGGGAGAGGAGATGAAAAATTATTGCTGGAAAAATCGACCAAGACGGCTAATGGTGGTGGAATCGGAATATGTCCAGTGAGCAAATTGGAATGCAAATCGAGATAATGTAAACTTCGTAAATCATACGGTTCTTGAAGGTTAGTAAATTGATTATGAGAAAGATTCAAGAAGCGGAGAAATCCATCACCGACCTCCCATATCCAATTGGGGATCTCACCATTTAACTGATTGTTCGAAAAATCTATCATCATCAATGATGATTGGTTCATCAAAAGAGGAAGTTTTTCCAAATTGCAAGATGCCAACATTAGAGTTCCTAAACGAGGGTACAATGTGGACATGTGTACTTTTTCGTCAACATGTACGGATAAATTGTTGTAAGAAAGATCCAAATTCACAAGATTACTCATCTTTTCGAAATCGGTTAACTCAATCGAGCCGTTGAAGTTGTTTGAAGAAAGAGAGAGACTTGAAAGATTCTTCAGTTCAAAGAAAAACCGAGGTATTGGGCCTTGGAGATCATTCACGCTCAAATCAAGAACTTCTAGTACATAAGAACTATTTACAGAGTTACTAATGGAACCAAAAAGCCGATTGTTGGAAAGATATATTACTTTAAGAGATGGCAATGAAAATGGAGATGTTGGGATTTCTCCATCGAGTAAATTCTCACTCAAATCGAGAAAATTTAGACTTTCAAGGCCTTCCCAAAGGGAGCTAGATATTCGACCTGTTAAACGGTTGCCACGAAGATTTATCACCGTGAGATTCTTCAACAGAGCAAATGAAGGAACAGAACCGGAAAATTGATTTAAAGAGAGGTCCAAATAAGTAAGCCGAGAAAGATTTGTTATCGAACTTGGAATTGATCCGGAAAACCTGCAAGCTCTAAGATCAAGATTTGACAACATTCGAAGATTCCCTACAGATTCAGACAAATTGCCTGAAAAGTTTGTGTAACTGAGCAGCAAATTCTGAAGAGACCCATTCACAGGAAAATCAGGTAAAGAGCCTTCAAGCTCTCGATTTCCACTCAAATCGACCGTCTGCAAACTCATAATTCGAAACAATCTATCGGGAACAACGCCAAACAAGTCACAAGAGCTCAAAGTTAAGACCCTCAAATTCGAAAATTCTGCAAAAAAATCAGGGAAAGGGCAAGAAAATGTGTTGCCATCAAGACGAATGACAGATAAAAACCTAAGCTTAACCAAAGACGAATCGAAAGGGCCCGTGAGGTAAGAATTGGCCAAGCTCAGAACCCTTAAATTCGGCAAGGAAGACGAAATTGCACTGCACCAAACACGCCCTTGAGCAGAAATATTTACCCCGTCGAGGTAAAGCTCTCTCAACCTCGTGAAATTTCGAATCAAATTTTCCAAACTACGGCCGTCAAGCTCAATCGACGAGTAAATTGCAGAGGAGAGGTCCAAGACGACTAACCTCGTCAAGCCCGAGAAATCCGGCGGGACCCGGCCTGCGAAGCCCGAATTGCTCAGATTCAGACGCCTCAAATTCGCGAGCCTCCCGAACCCCAGCGGCAACTCCGCCGGATAAAAGCTGTTTTGGGCCAAATTTAGGGTTTCGAGGTGCGCGAGCTCGAAGAGGCTGCTGCCGGAGCTGTTTATCCCGCCGGAAATTGCTTCGCCGCTCAGATCGAGGCCGGAAACGCGATTCCGAGAGTCGCATTCTACGCCGGCCCATTGGCAGTGGTTGGTGGATTCGGTCCAATGCACCAGCTTGGTCGACAGGGAGGCGTCGTAGCTGAGGTTGCCTTTCAGCTCGAGGAGGAGCCGTTTGTCAGGCGGCTGGCCGGAGACGAATTTGATGACGGTGCCGCCATTGAAGCTTGAGAAGGTTAACAGAATGAGCAAAGTAGTTGTGAAATTTTGAAATCCCATTTGCTTTTTAGCTTGGCATTCACAAAAATTGTAGCATGTTTTTTCTAGCGCTATTATAGATTTATAAAAAAATCTATATATTAATAATCTGACATGATATGAAACGTGGATTTAAATATTCGGGATAATATAAAATATAGCCAATTATTATTACATGACAAACATTCCGAAAGAGAAATTAATTATTAAAAATTTAAAAGTGAACAGATTGGTTGGTTGGTCCTCTTTCACACTATAGCAGTAAAAGTAAAAGCTTTCTTTTCATATGCATTGTTGGTCCATGTTTGCATGCATGTGCTTTTAAGTAATGTACAAAAATTATCAAAACAAATTACAGGAAAATGTTACAATCTCGGAACTTTTCTGTTGAGATTTATAATAACTAATATAAATGTATATTTAAGGTTATAAATTCTAACGGAATGGTCTGTAACGAGACCGTAGACTTACCCCAAATTCAAATATATTATTATATAGTAGCGATTAAATAAAAAAAAAAAGTTAAAAGCTTCTATAGCTTAACTTGGCCGAAAAGGCTTGTGAAACCCCACTGGCCACTACTTCGGGTGGATTGTAAGAATATACAAAATGATTAGTACTCCATTTAAAAAAAAAAAAAAAAAA